TTTAGAGACCAGATCTGTCCCAAAGATCATTCTTATATTGTTTTCATAAAATCGGATGAGATTTCCAAGAGAATCTGCTGAGAGAGAGAATCTGCTCAGAGAATCTTTCACACAGACCATTTTTGTACTCTGCCTAGAGGCCCTTTTCGTAGACCTTACCTTCGTCGAGTTAGGTCCTTAGCCAATTGCTGTAGGAGCGACACAGACATAGCCTTTCCTAGCTAAAAGCTGTAATACCCATCTCAGAGAGTATCAAATTGGTAGTCTCAACTACACTAAACAAATGGCAAACAAAATGAGAAGAGCTCCCAAAAAAAAAAAAATAGGGGAATAAGAAGAAGCGAAAAAGTTGCATATAACAAATGTGGCGGGCACTACGGAAAACTTTTTTATGTTACCAAAGCAGCTATCCGAAAACGTAAGCCTCCCTGGCACGCCCCCTCCTATGGTGCGCCTTTATGTAGGATAGTTAGGCAACAGTTTGAGAGGCAGTTGGAAAAGTTCATTTGCCAAACATCGTGGCCCGAAGCCCACAGCAAAGGCAACTAACAACAATGTGACTGCACTTCATTCTCTCTCTTTCTCTGTCGCTCTTTCTCTCTTTCGCTGTGCTGCTGTTGTTTGTCATTGTTCTTGAAGTGCTCAAACTCCTTTGACAGCGAAGCAGCAGGCTCGACGAACTGGAAAATATATGACTTTGCTTACACTGTGGCCTCTCAAAGTTCGGCTAAAGGGTCAAGGGGGCTACAGAAAGAGAGTGAGAGAGAGGGAGGCAGACACTATATATGCCTAGGCCTTGCTCTGTTTGGTGCTCTGTCATAGACTATAATGGAATAGAGTCGTTTGAAACTGGGAATTAGAGATGACTGCGTGTGCTGGAGTCGTGTCACGAGGCCTAGAAAATATAACTTGGCTCATTTCAATGTGTGCTTAATCCTAGGCAGGCTCTAGGTACTTGCTGTTTCAGCTATTCGTGTCACGAAGAGACGAGCGTGATCGTGACTCGTGTCACAATGCCTTATCATCTATTGAACTTTACTTTAACTTGAGTTTGATCGCATCTGCTGCCTCTACTTCAACTGGCGACTCACGACGCACCAATTTGGCTGTCGTCTCATCTCAGGCAAGTGCCACAAAGCACTCAATGGCAAACTGAAGCGACAAATATATCCTTGGCATGTGGCATGTGGCATGTTGAAAGTGGCAAGTGGCATATGGCAGAGGCAGAAGCATAAATTCAATGCGTCAAGTGGATGCAACTCAAGTTGCGAGCCTCAGATTGACGCCGACAAGCGATGCAATTAGTTGGCCACGCTTCGAGCCACAACGACTAACAACGACCCGCGAACCGATGACCAAAGAGCGATGACCGATGTCCGATGACCGATGACTGATGACAAATTGACACGATTGAGTCGATTGTCACATCTGTATCTCTGTATCTGTATCTTTGTATCTCTGTATCTGTAGCTGTATCGTATCTCTAGCTGTCTCTGTAGCTGCTACTGTTTCTGTATCTGTTATCGACACACGATTCCAGTGGGCGGATGGGTGTCTGGTGGGCGTGGTCATGTGTCTAGCAACAATGCTTAGGCATTGTTTACACGCATCTCGTTTAATATGCATGAGATTCAGGCACCTGCCCAGCTGCTCACCTGCCAACCTGTCGACTGCACGTGCCTCTAAAATGAGTAGACCGAGAGTTAGGAGGGCGCCAGTTGTTGGGCTTGTTGGGGGTCAGCGGCTAGGGGTTAACCAGCGCCCTCAACTCGTCACAGATTGTCGAAATTGTTAACGGGCCCAAAAGGCAATTCAATCAGCTGCCCGAATAGCTGCTGAAATGTCAAATGACATTGGTTGAAAGCCTACGTGTGCCGGGCACTAAGCAGTGCTGGATAACTGTCAAAAGGTAATTCACTTAACTGTGGACAGAGGGGGAAATGCGGTTAAAGTGAATTCTGTGCTGTTGCACTGTGCCAGAGTCAAGACACAGCGAAAATAAATAGAAAACAGTGTTGGGTAACTGTGAAAAAGTGAACTTTATTGTAATGCCTAAGGGAACGTCTATATTTAAGTAAGTTATAGTTTATAAATGAAGCAGAGGGAGAGGAAAATAGTGTTGACTAATTATCAAAGTGCATAACTGTCAAAAGCTTAGTTGAAGCTCAGAGAGCAACAGTGTTGCATGTTAATATTTTTTTAATTTCGTTACAACTCGTTTAGAGCATGAATATGCATAGAGTCGAGTCAACAAATTGTTGCAAATTCCTTGCGATCTTTAAGTCCTTGGGGGCGAGCACTACGACAATTTTTCATATTTGTTTGTTTAGCAAACAGAATGAGAAACAGTTCAAATTCGATTTACAGTTCAGCTTACGACGAAGGCAGGCAACAACAGCAGCAGTAGCAGCAGCAGCAGCAGCAGCAGCAACTGAAACTAGCTATAGATATATATGCATTTGAACAATTTGTAACTTATGTATGATGGCTGACTGTGGGCTGTCCACTGAGAGAAAGGAGAGTAAGAAACAGTGAAGCCATTTTCTTGTGGCAATTATACTTCCATTAGAAGGCAATAGCTTTTCGCTAAGTGTATGCATATTTGCTCTTCAAACTATTTACATAACAATAAGTTATGCAATACGTAAAGCAAATATGCAGGGTATGTAAAGGGAGGCGGGGTGTTGGGGGAGGTGTGGCATGTTGCAATTTCTTATGCATAAATATCAATAGAAATGAAAGAAAAGCCTTTGATATGTTTGATTTGATTTGATTTGATTACATTTGATTTGTGTTAGAATTGACGAGAGGCCAGAGCTAATGGAGTAGCAGAATGCGGGAAGGAGAGGACAGAAATCAGCCTCATGACTGCACATAATGTGACACACACACCCACAATACTCATGTATACACATTTATATATATATGTATATAAATATATATATATATATATATGTCAAATACTGTGCATGCTAGAAGTATGCAAATCGAGTGCAATTTGCATGCAAAGTAGCTTCAAGAGGCAAACTGCAGCACAGCGCCCGAAGCGCAGCTTAAAAGAGGCGTGAGGGGGGGGGGGGGCACCAAAAGGGGAGTTTGTACTTAGTGGAGGTAGCGCCTAGCTTGACTAGCTCATTAGGAATGCCTGCAGCTAGCAGCTACAATCGTGAGTGTGTGCGTACTCTTGCTGCTAGTTAGTTAGCTTCGAGTTTTGATTTGAAACATGTTTTGCTTTTGGCCCACTCTGCATTCTGCTGCGCTAGAGTATACCCACATGGACACTCATCATGCAACATGGTTAGAGTATATGATGTGGCTGCCTCCGTCTCTGTATATGAGCTGAGAGCAGCCTTATATGAAAACATTGATAGCAAATTGTTTTCCCTTGGCTTTTTATTAGTAGAATAGGTTTAGCTGCTACAACATAGTGTATTAATGGGTAGGTTATAGTTATGTGAACTACTCGACAGCTGTTTTAAGCTATAGAACAATATGTCCCGAAATTAATTGGTATTGGGTAATTGCTCGCTGCAAGCTTTTTCGAACTGCTGTTCTTCACTCAAACTGTTGCTGTCAGCTGAATTCTAATTTTCCTTGATTTGCAAATAATCAAAACTCGGAATATTGCATCAGCTTTAAGCACTTTTTGAACATTTTCCAATAAAGACACTCGAGTGTCGGGACTTGACCGAAAGGCGGACAGACAGACAATTTAATAGCTTCACACTTTCATTTTACAGCTGCTTACAAAGGGGGAAAAAACTGCAAACGAACAATTTTAAGAATTTTCTTTCATTTTTTTCTATTGAAGAAAATGCACTTTGCCAGAATGTTTAGAATGCCACAAGATGATGTGTGAAATAGAAAGAAATGCAGTAGAATAAGGTGGGGAGAGGCTTTTAACGAGCTAACACGGAACTCGTCTAGAGTGCGCCCTCTTGAAGTGTTTGGGAAATGTGCTTTACACACAAAAAAGGAGAAAAATATATTTTTGAAAATATTGCTGAAAATGTGAAAAGGTAAAAGACAGAAAGATGGACAGCATGGCAAAAACTTGAGTAGTTTCCGTTTTACAAATGCAGATATATTGCGCATATTATATCATCATATAGCCAGTAAAGATGAATAGAAAATTCTTCTTTTGGTCTACCTTATAACTCCATATTTCATATTTCATCAGTCTGCACGCGTATGATCTCAAGTTCTGACACCGAACTACGCCAATATCATGAAAATTAAGTTAGCTTTGCTGCCAGGTCAAATGTGTTATAGAAATGTTAAAAGTTATAGTTATATCATTTCATATATCAACATTATAGTGTTATCTCATATACTTATTGAGTTACGATAGGCCTTAAGCACCCTTAAAAATTTCTAAACTGTTTCGGTTTCATCATTTTCATAACAATAGGCCAATTACAGTCTCCTATCCTCTTTTTTTTTCTCTTCAAATGGCTTCTGCGCGAATTCAGAGTTGATTTACTCTCGGCCAAGTTTTGTTCTACACAAAAGTTAAGCACTTGAGAGTTTTTCGCTTTAACTGCTTCAAAAGGCACTTCCATTGTAATCAATTATCATATAAATACATATATACTTTATATAATCTTGAAAAAAGCTTGAAAAATCTGGCAATCTATAGATTTTATTACTCAAACAATCAATTTCAATTGTTCAACGCCTGCTGTGCGAGTGAGAGGGCAAGAGAGACAAGGGCTTTTGGTCAGTCCTGAGAGCACTTTTAAGTATAAATCATTGTATATTGCCCTCTCGCTCTGGCAAGGCAACAATAGCGATACAATGGTGGACTTAAACATAATGCTAAATGCTCGATTAACGAGTTCTTTGAGCCATTCAATGTGCACACCAGCAGCAACAACAGCGACAACAGTGAAATCAAAAACAACAACAGTAGCAGCAGAGCCCAGCATTAACAATGGCTGACCAACGGTACCTTACTCCTATCCCCCTCTAGCGCTTGGTGTTAAGTGTGGTCAACTTACCCGTTCGGCCCGAACAACATGTTAATCTGCAAATAAAGAGAGCGCAAAAAAGAAGAGAGTGAGTAAATGAGCGTGAGCGAGATAGTGTGTTCGTGTGTAAGCGTGAAAGAGTAGCGCTTACACAAAATAACATATTATAAGGAAGTGCAGATCATGAGAAATGCTTTAGTGTGCCCTCCCACCGCTTTTTTACAATTGTAAAATACGCAATAAAAAACACAGCAGGAGCAAGTGAGAGGCGAGAGGGAGAAGTTTTGCTGGAGTTTACTGCGGGTATCAAGCGGATTCTCGTGAGTAAATTGATGTTGGTTTTATAAAAAAAAGAAAGCAGGCTAACTAAGATAAGAGCGTGAGCAACTAACACATACCCATAATAATATTTAGAGATATATATAGGGGTATATATATATATTCATACACACATATTTTAAAAATGCTTATGGTATATATTTATTTTTTTTTACTGTTTTTATTACTTACTCTTGATAATATATGCCCTTTGACATATACTGCTACATTTACAGGGTATGCAACAATAAAGATTCAATCCTCAGTAAAATCACACGCAAATTTGTTACACGGCTTTTGCTTTGGGTATTTTGAATGTTTTATGGTTTTCAAAAAATAAGGAAAAAAACAAACCGAAATAAAATTCATAAAATCGACACGAAATTCGCGCACTTTCAGCCGAATCAAACAATAAATCTTTTTACTCTAAGCTCGCTTAGATTTATATAACGTGCAACTTCACTGCCTCCCCTCTCTCTCTCTCTCTCTCTGTCGATATGTTAACTACGCTGCTGCCTTTGCGGCCCTCATTTTCTGTATGTTGAAAACTTTTTTCGTTTTGCTCTGGTTTTTTTTGGTTTTGTTTTTACCGTTATGTATTTACCGTTGTTTTTGCCGCCATTGTTCGGCATTCTAATTCTCGGCTCTGGGAGTATTTTTTTGCACTCGAACTGATTTGAAATTTTATTTTCTGTATTTCTTTATTTTATTTTTGTTCTGCTTTGTCAAAGTTTATTTTTGATTTAACGCTCTGCACATTATTTGACTTCCCTAAGGGGGTGGGGCAAGCTTTTCTCTTTGTTTTTTGCCAGTATAGACATTACTTTTTGCTGTTTGTCAAGGTTAGCTTGGCAGACTTTTTAGGCGTTGATTAGGCCCTGCATACGATTTGCAGTCATCAATTATGATAATTCGATTAAATTAAGTTATCGATAACCATAATAGCGAACAGTTATTGTTATTGAAGCCAAATTCATTAAGTTTCCGTTGAGCTTAAGTGTTTTTAGAGATATAACTATAATGGTCGACTTGACACCCATCGTGCCGATAGCAAATAAGTAATCGATTTAGAAGCATACGTATATTGGAGCTGGATGTTATCATTAAAGACAACTTCAGAGATACATACATGTTATCGATAACAAGTGCAGATCATGTCGATAACATATACAACCTGCAGTCACCTAAGCTTTTCCCGTTCCACAAACATGATCTTTAGGTTTATCTAAACAAATATTAAATTTCATTTGGCTTAAGAGTCATTCACCATTATCGATAAATTTGAGTACGCGTAAGACAAATGAGATGAAAATGGGAAATGTGAGGCGGAAAAACGAGCGAAACGTGAAAAACAAACAGAAATCCGATTGCGAAACTAAAATCCAACTAGAAATTTAATGCGGCTATCGATAAGGAGCAATGGACAATGACAAACAAGAATAGCAGATAAAGCAAATAACGAGCTACAACAACAACAAGGAGCAGAAGCAAAAGTTGAGCTGGCATATCGCATTGCACGCAATATGCAATGCAACTCAAGCAATTGCTTTTTCGCTGTCAATAGTTGAACAGGAAAGGAGCAACAGCCCCCTCCCCAAGCCACCCCAAATACCTCCCTCGACAAGCATTCAGTGAGGAAGGGAGGGGGTGTCTAGTGTTGTTCACGTTGCTTCGATATCCAAGTCGCAGTTAAAGCTTATTGTCAGGTATCTATATACATATATATGTTGCCCTATGCACTGCCATGTCGTGCTATAACAGCTCTTTATATGGTATACGATGAGCAAAGAGTTGGCTAAGCTTTTGTGCAGGTAGAGCTACATACGTGGGTAGAGTGAGAGAGAGGGGTAGAGAGGGAGACTAGATCGACTCGTTTGTTCACACTGATCAAGATTATATATGATGAATATACACAATGAGTTGAGGCACGAATTCTGCTGCTAGTCAGGGCACTGCAAAGAACTCATATACCCTACAGCAACATTTGCAATGAGTATAAATAGAAGTAGCATTTCATAGATCATAGTATACATAGCACAGCTGCAGGGTAACTGCTAGTCGAGCAATGCTATTTCTGACTTATAAAACTTTCCATTTATCTATTTATTTCTTTTTTTCCCTTTTTTTTTGTAAATTCATATTCGTAAATACGCGCGAGTAATGCCCTATGGAAGGGCGTTACAAATGAAGGCGTGGCTTAGTATAGGGCGTAGTCTTATGTCGTAGTGGGGGTAGCTTGCAGCCACGTTAGCGTGTGTACCTAGAGAAAGAGTTAGGGGCCTTCAGTTTGCATAGTAAAAACAATCGCCACCGATACGAAGCGAAATAAATATAGAGAAAATTGATATATCGTAACTAATGGCAAATACGCACACACACACATACACACATGTATACTTATTTATGTATGTATACAATCTTTAGTATACAGTCTAAAGTCAACTAAAATTATGCTTTGCTTCACATTTTGTTTGCTCTGCACGCAATTCTAATGTGTGTGCACAGTCGCCCTCTCAATTACAGGGTATACATAGATATATCAACACAACTGCATATATATATCTATATGAATAACCCCACAGATATGAACAGTAAACACAGGTAACTAACGTCGCACGGACAAACAAATTTGTATCTGTGAGCTTATGCAGCTAGAAGCTTAATCTAGCTAACTTTTCCATACAAATAAATGTTTGGGTATTTGCTAGTCAGGTACTCCCCAGCTGAAGCTAGGTCTCATATCTAAGCTACGTTCTGTGTTTAGTTTGCATTGTTCTTCTCTCTATCTGTAGATCGTCTTTTGCTCTAGAATTTTATTCATTTGAAACGGCTAGGAACAACGTTGATGAATCTTGCAAAATCTTGCGCCGGTGCATTGCAAATGTTTGCACCTGCGCCTGCACATGGACTATTTGTAGTAGCTGTTGTTGACTATTTGACACAGGCATCGGTAACATCGCCTACATTGTCAAAAACTGCAACAGTCGGCGTCAATGTCAACAGCGATTCAAAGCAATGCGACATTTAATACACCTGAGTGCAGTTAATATAGGTGAGCGGGCAGATGCATGTATCTCTCTCTCTCTTGCTCTCTCTCTCTCTGTGTGTGCGTGTGTGTATTCATATTTCTCGAATTTCTATTCAGTGCATTTCGTTTGTCGATGTCGGATCAACTCGAATTGGATTCAAAAAGTTTTCTGTTGACTTCCAACTGGAGCAATCAGAGATATATCTCTATATATATACGCATGTACATATGTATATCCCATTAAGCCTTTTTTATTGGCTTTCGTACATATTCAAAATTCCAAGTTCCAATTCCATAATTCCAAGCGCGTCTTTCTATGCGCTTCTCATTATAGTTAATCAACTTTTTATGCATCCACATCAATATGATAGTCAAAATACGCTAATGGCCTTCACTTCAAGCCTTATTTTCATCAATTGAATTATTCTGCAGTGAGTTCTAAAAGCCGACAATATTGGTCCAACAGCTGGAGGCAAATGAAGCATTTGCTAATACGCCGAAATAAATAAAAAGCTTTGCTAATTAGTTAAGAGCTGCTACCTGCTGCCTACCAGCTGGCACTGCTTGGGCATCCCATTCCAAACATTCCCCTGCCTCAACTCGGCTTCTGCTGCCGATTCTGTTCTTTAATCCACTTGAAAGCAGCTGCTGTCGTTTTCTTATTTATTTTGCGACGAAAAAAAAGAAGCAGAAATAAGGAAAATGAGAAAAAAACATTGTCAGTGATAAATTTTGTTTACAGGCTGTCTGTCATGCGAAGCGCGTAGAGAGGCGCACGCAGGCACCCATCCTTAGGCCTGGGGCTTTAAGCTTTAAGCTGTTCTCCCCCGTTGACAGTTGTCAGATGGCATTTACCGACATTTCAGATATGGTCACTATACGATTAACATGGCTCTCCCCCTCTGCCCCTCCCTCGCCCTTTCACTCACGTTCCCCATCAGTCTGCCTCTCCCTCTCTCTCTCTCTACCTATCGTCTCAAAACTAAACCAAAGTATTCCAATTCGCCAAATTGTCTTTTTCTCTGCTATACTTTTTTGGAGCTTTGTTTTTTCGGGCGTGTTTTTGTTGTGGTTGCTGTTCCATTGCCGTGTTCCCAGGGGGCAATGAGCTGCCAACAACTGCCACACAACTAATCGTGTTGCCAGCGTCGCGCAGGCCTCCAATCCCTCAATCCCTCCCGTTGAATCAGTTGTGACATTTCCAAAGCTCAGCCACTCAACGGACCTTGCATTCCCGTCCTCAGCTGCTACCCCAGGGGAACAAATAAACAAACACACACACGCACGCACACACACATACATGCACGCAAGCACACACACACACACACACACACACTCTCAAACAACAACAACAACAAAATCCCGTTAAGCGTAATTTCGTATACCCTGGGCAACACTGGTGAGGGCCAATATACTACAAAAACTTGTTAAAAGTATTTTTTCTGCTATTTATGTTGCAAAGTGTTTCATTCCATTTGTTCCCGCTTGACTATTCTTTAAGCTGGCTTTAAAAAAAAGCCCGGCTATTTCAATATTAAAATTGTATTCCTTTTGCAGATATTCCACATTGTTTCAATTCCAATCGTTCCACAAATTGACCAGCCTTGTAAATGTTTGACTGTTATGTTTCCATAGCCTTCCCCTGGCATTTATGTCATACACCAGACCTCAGCTACCACAGCTGATATACATACCGTTGCTTTGTGAACGTTACTTAGAATGTTCCAATTTCGTAACGTTCCACTTCGTTGTTAAAGCTCATACCTATCTAAAATTTAAATCTTATTGGCACTTCATTAATAAAGTTAAGACTATTTTGTCATAATGGTACATACACTGTCCCAATTCCAATATGTTCCGACTGTCGCTTTCTTGTCCCTAAAGTTTCGTTTTTAATTTGAATAATTTAATTTAGCTCTTTGTTGATTATTCGGTTTAGCTATTCATAAGTTGTTTTTCTGTTTCACGTGCCATTGCGTTCCCCTGGAGTGTCGCTCGGGCACAGCACGTGACGCCAAGAGCAATCCAAAAGGCTAACATTCCCAGCTGAGTTTCAAAGCTTTTGCTTGTGTTTTGGTCAAGAGAGACTTGAGACTGGCGAGGGGCGGAGGCCTAATTCTATGCTCCTTTTGCTGTCAAATCTCCTTTTCGGTTTAACGTTCCGCCAAATTCCGATTTGTTTCGCTGGAATTTAATAACTTTAAGTAGAAAGCTTTCGTGCCGCTTTCACACCTGTTAGCCAGGCTCGTCTGTATAGATGCAACTCATTAATCAGCCAAGCGAGTGAGTGAGAGCATACCAGCGCACAGGCAGAGAGAGCGAGGAATACCCACACTCTGGCAGGGCTGTGTTCCATCCGTTCTATACAATCGTTCGTCATTATTCCCTGGAATCAAGCTTAAACAAATAAGCAGATCGAAATCGCGCAGATACCCTGTCGCTGGTATGAACTTGAAGAGTTGATTGGGCTTAGACTATTTGATGTTACATTAGAAGATCTAGTAGAGGCAAGATTCCTGATTTTGAAAAAGTTAACTGACTGACTGACTTGCATATACCCTGTAGGTTAAATAACTTTATGGGGTACATGAGATAGACCTATAGAAAGCAATGACCTTTATAAAGAAGGCGTATCTGTTATACGATGGGCTATATAATTTTTCTTAGAGTGGTCATATGACTTATGGCATATATTTCTATCGTCTAGAAAACTAATTGACCAAGTTTAGAGGGAATAGCTCTGATTGATACAAAAACTAGAGAATTCGTTCCCAGCATTAGCTCTGAATTCTGTAAGTTAAAGTTTATTCGAAAAACCTTGGAAATATTGATCCGTTCGGATCGCACTTTGCCTCTGGCTTTGCGGGGCATTAGGAAACGCACATAAAACTCGAAGCAAAATCAGTCGAAGGCAGAGACGTGGGCGTGGCCAAGCTGAATCAGAGCTCAAGCCGAGCTGAAGCTTTGAAGATCGTCTGGGCCGAGTCGAGCTGAGGCCTGAGCTGAGTTTGATTCGCGACTTGTCAACGCGACGCGAGTCAAACAGTGCCCGATGCGTTTCAAAGGCGTCAACACGTGCCTACGCCAATGGAGAGATACAACTCGAGTCACAGGCGACAACCAACAGCAACAGCAGCAACAATTGCAGCTAGCAACGAGTCCAGATCCCCGCACGAACGCTTGCACTCGCAGACGTCTGACAAGATGGAAATGGAATTGGTGGCAACACAGACGCAAAATGAGCAACAGTTGCTGCTGCACCAGCCACGCCAACAGCAACAGCGACAACAATTGCCTAGCATGCCTGTCTTGAATGAAACAGAAATCGAGGAGCAAATCGGGCTTCGGCATCGGCACAAATCGAAATCCAAATCGAAGAAATCGAGAAAGTCCAAAAAGGATCCGCAGTCAGAGCACGAGCAAGAGTGCAAGCGAGAGCGCAAAGGTAAGCGAGAGCGAGAGAGAGGGAGGCAGCGCGCAGAGCGGGAGCAGGATGATGATGAGTCGTTCGATGCGAGTCCAATGCGTCCGCATTGGGTCAATCAAAAGAAACGCATCTTGGAGCAATGGAAACACGAGCACTGCGCCGACAAAAGCGATAACAATATCGATATCGATAGCGATTATTGATGGAAAACTAAGTAAATCAGGTAAGAGTTCCATGAGCTTCGCTCAAAGAATCATGTCAACCAATCGATATTTATCGACTTTAAGCCTTAAGACTAAAGATATTGATACATGATAACTTTTGCCCACAGAGGTATTTATATATATATAAATATATGCATAATGACAAGTTTTCAGCCTTTCTGCTCTTTTTATCGATAGTCACACATGTTATCGATAACAAATCTGAAGTAACTTAAAGGAAATGTAGAAAAAAATTGTTTAAAAGAAAATGCTTGCAAATGATGTAAGAGTCGTGATTGCAGCTGCAAATACTAACGCATGTGTGTATGAGGAGGGCGTGTAAGGCTCTCTCGGTGCGTGGGTGTATGTGTCTGGGCGGGTAGTGAAAACAGTAGAACATTATTTCTTTTGTAAATCCCATGAACAATGCCCACGGCACGTGCGTGGCAACCAAATGAACCAAATGAACAACAGGCAAACGCCGTTCGCTAAGCCAAAAGCAATTATCTGACATAGCTGGGCCATAAAAATGGTCAATTACAATATCACGATATTACCAATACACCAACACACACACACATATATACATACTGGCTCGCACACCCACTAGTAAATACCCTGGACATAAATTATGCATTTCGCCTTAGTCCATCGCAGTTTATCAAAATATAAAAAAGGTTGCTCGGAATTTAAGATTTTGGCTCGCAGATAAGGTATACCAAAATCGAATAACGATTAGAGTGGAAAACGTTCAAGCCTGGCTAGCTAGATACCCTGTAATAACACGAAATTTAACACGTATTACCAAAGCCAAACTATTCAAATGGGGCAAGTTTTGAAATCATTTTCTTCAAATAAACTTTAATTTGTTATTGAACTTCAAGCAACTCGACTATAACATACCCTGTAAATTGTTGTTTCATGCTCCTCTACTCATTTCAGAAGTAACTAAACATGCAGCTGCAGCGATTCTTACCAACTCTCAGTTGGTTCACGCTGTTTCGACAGCAAGATACCCTGTAAACTTATATAAAACAAAATTAGTTACATTTTCTTTAGAAATATGTAACTGAAGCCATAGTTTGTCTTCATTATTAAGATCTACATTTGGAATTTATGCTACAAATGTTGACAAAACTTGACAAAAAATACCCTGTAATAAAGCAAAAAAGGAACTTTCGGTATATATATATAAATCGTAATGTTTCCTAATGATTCATTCATTCATTAATTAATTAATAATTAATGAAATCGAGAAATCGAGAGGGTAGCTACTGCCACACACTTACAGGGTATATGGAGCAACGGCGTGTCAGTTTCGTAATCGAAGCTGATGAAAAGGCGCAACAACTAAATTTTCCACGAAAAACTGTTCGAATTTCCATTTCAATTTCAATTTCAATTCAAAATGAAATCAGCTACAGAAATCAGAGCACTCAATTGATGATATACACACACATACACACACACGCGCTCATATATGCATATGTATACCCTAACTAAATGCAACTAAGCCATGTACATATTGGAGTGTGTGTGTGTGTGCCTGTGTGTGAATGCAAAAAACCATTTAAATGGCCCAAAATACAGAAAAGAGCAAGAGTGAAGTCATTGGCTCTATGTGGGAGAGAGAGAGAGAGAGAGAGAGAGGGCGAGCGTGAGTAGAGCGAGAGGCGCATAGGTTATTGGTTAATAACGTGAGCGAGGGCTGAGAGACAATTTAATGCCGGAAATAGTTTTTCCAAGCAGAGGCACAACCCGGGGTGTTGGGCTTTAGTTTACTAGAGTTGGCTGGACAGCACGTATGTAGATGTGTGTGTGTGTGTGTATGTGTGCTGGTGTGTGTGATTGCAAAATAAATTTACTAATAAAATGCCAACAATTTTTTGAGCTAGAATGAAAAACCCTGGTTAAAAAAGGTCCTGCAGGGCAATGCTGTGTACGTGTGTGCGGGTGTGTGTGTGTATCTGTGTGTGTGTGCGTGCGTGTGTAAAGGGGCAAGCATTTTGTAATAAACATATTTGAAATGCATGCCACGCAGTCGAGCAACAGCAACAATCGAAGTTCTTTTGGGGGCGATTCAAAATGTTTTTGGAAAATGAGCGCAATTTGGACTTTGACCTTGGACAACTTTTTGGGCAGCAAGCAGTGGTGGGTGGAAGGGGGGGGGGGGCGAGGTGAGTTGAAGAGGGGTCACTGAGCATTTGAATGTCTGGCAAGAGCTTTGGAGCAGCTCGAAAGGCAACAGGCAAACTGAGCCGAGGCTCAAGGTCATGTGAACGAATGTCGGGAAGCGGAAACGGAAGCGGAACCGGAACCAGAACCGGAAACGGACCTGTGCATGGGCAACAGTCAAAATGGCGAAATGAAAGCTAAATTAAAATCGAAAGCGAATTGGCTATACGAAATTGGAGCGAAATGATGGGAAAAGAAAACTTTTAACTATTGAGAAAATTGCATATGAACTAGTTTGAAAAGCAAATGGAAATAGAACTAAGATTTCAGTTGAAGCTCGTACTGAAAACGGAACTGGATATATAAATAACAATTTAATTAGTTGCTATTTGAATTGGTACTGTAGCTGGAGCTGAAACTGGAACTGAAACTGGAACTGGAACTGAAACTGGAACTGAAACTGGAACTGGGACTGAATATGGTGTAAGCTCTAGTAATATGAATATGCATAGCTTGAACAAATAATAATGCAAAACTGATAAAGGCTAAAACTGGCACTGGTATTAGAACCAAAATTAGAACTGAAGAAAATCGACGTCCATCAATCATGATTGATTGATGCTAGTAAGCAAACCAAACACTTTTGACCCTTGTAAGATCCATTGAATAATTTGCGTTAGAAGAACTTGTCTATTAAAAGCTATGGAAACTCTTAAAATGGTTTTCGCTTGAAGCGCGATTGATGTCAATCATTAAATATTTTCTGCCAATATTTATGCAGCTTTTCGATTTAATTAAGCTTCAACTGCTTTTGCTTTTTGCAGCCAACAACAAATGACCAACAACAATCAACATCAAAGGAATTTCAGCATTTCACCTCCCTCAGGGCTAAGAAGACGTAACAGTATCACCGATTGATGGATGTAGCGATTGATGACGATGGACCAAGCAGGAGGAGGAGCATCTATAAAAGATACTCGAGGGCACGAATTAATTTAAAGCTAAATGCGAACACCAACAACACCAGCAATAAAATAAATTGGGAAAATCTTTTTATGCCGGCAGCACCAACAGCGCTCAACAAAAGGAAGTGGGCGTGGCATGTAATGGGGGCCATGGCAGTCAAGGGGGGGGGGGTGGAGACCGTGGCATGGGGAAAGATGGTCAATTGGCTGATATTTCCAATTTGAATGAAAAGTGATTGAAGAACTTTGAAGAGCGCATAACAAATGGCAAAAAAATGAACGAGAAAATTGAATGAAAATTGATGAACACTCAATTCAATGCAAGACTAGTTAATACCCTCCAATCTTTTGCAGATATGGCATATGCTCTGTTGCATGCATATGTTTGATGAACTAGGAGATATCGTACATATTGAAGAGCAAATTTTTATGGTATATATGGGTATAACAGCATAAGAGCAGTCTAGTATAACAGTATAACAGTATACCAGTATAACAGTATAACAGTATAACAGTATAACAGTATAACAGTATAACAGTATAACAGTATAACAGTATAACAGTATAACAGTATAACAGTATAACAGTATAACAGTATAACAGTATAAAGGTATAACAGTATAACAGTAAAGCAGTAGAACAGTGTAACGGTCAAAGTTCTATACGCTAAAAATATTATTAAATATCATTGATAGCAAGTCATGCAGTCTGGCCAAGCTAATAAGCTCGACGATTAGTAGAGCAAGACAAAAACAGAGAAACGTAAATTTTAAAGTTTTTTTTTTAATTTTTTTCTTTTTTATCTGCAAAAAAGTTTTTCGGCTACGCAATTAAAAAAGTAAAGTGTTGCAAAAATATAAATCGACGTATATATATGTATATATATAAACCTATGTAAAACTGTATATAGATAACTGTTATATGAAATTTCTACATAGAAAAAGTTTGTTTAAGAAGGAAGGAGAGAGAAGGAGGAGGAGGAACATTGTTAAAAACTTACCAGCTGTTTTTGCTGGTGCAGCCAGCTCGACGCTGACGCTTGACGTTGACGCTAGATGCGCGCTGCTGCGAATCAAAATTGAAAAGAACTTGGTGAGCGGCGCGACGCGGCGAAGTGCGGCGACGGCGGCTAGTTGGTGCTTCAAAATGTCCGCAGGGCCGAAGTTTATTTTGATTTGTTGTAGCTGCTGCTGCTGCTGAGGCGACAGCAGAGGGCGCTGACGCTGACGCTCACGTTGACGTTGATATGGACGTTGACGGCGCTGCTGATGGCGATCTGAAAGGCGTGCGAAATTAATATAAATATATAAAATATATATATATATATATATATATATATATATATATATATATGTATATATTTGTATATACATAAATTGAATGTATAATAAAATTGACGTTAAATTGCATTGGGGTTGGATAGGGCGCGGCAGCGAGGCAGTCACTTGTTGAAAATTGTGTTTATTGTGCATGTTTTAATTAGCAATTCGCTTATGGCAGCTGATATTGGCAGCATGATTGCAATTTTTATTCATAAAACAATTTTTTCGTTATTAAATTCTCTGAATATAGTTGAAATTTGCATAAATTTGCTTTAAATTTCATTTTTTCAGCATTTCGTTTTACATTAACGGCAAACAGAGGCGAAAATTGAATTGGCAGCAAAGCATAACAAGATTTGCGGCGAAAAAAAGAAATAAACACTTGTCGTTCACTACACGAAATGCACGCGAGAGCATATTGGTTTACTGCTGAGTTGCGTTAACAAAACTCCAACACACACTCATATTAATTTATAATACTTTTTTTTTAATTAATAATACTTTAAACTCACAATTTGACGTAATTCAATAAAAACTTCTTACATATTTTTTTATGATTTAATTATTAGACTTTGAGCAGAGTATTGCGCGGTCGGCTCACTTTGTTAATTTTGCATAACTTGTTGCGGTGCCGCTTCAAACTTGTTGATGGTAATGATGATGGCTCGGCAATTGCGCTCGAGTGCGACTGTGTTAGTGCGCGCGCTCATTAGGCGCCTAATCGACTCCAAATGTGGGCGAGCGGGCGCATTGCACAGCAGCTGACTGCAACGGCAAAAGAATCAACAACAACAAAAACAGCGCAAGCCGAGGCGAACGCGTCAACGATTCGTGTTGATTGGCAGACGCAGCCAATTAAACGTGCAAAGCAAATGCAACTATCGAATTCGATGTGTTCTCTTGTACTAAGTGTGCGTGTGTGTGTGTCTGTGTTACACGTGGACCAAAGGAGAGAGCGAGCAAGCGCTGCTTAGCAATGTTGATTAGTCTGTGCACATGCATGAGTGTGAGCCACAACAACAATGACCAATCCATGCCGTATGTGCGTGTGCATATGTGTGCGTGTGTGTTAGTGCAATACAATGGCAAACATATTGCAGCTGCCTATGTTGCATAGATATGGGCATAAAGGCGCGCATAGGGGCTATGCTCTGTCCACCCCCTTTTTGCCAACAACAGCAGCAGCTGCTACCGCTCTGCCTCTCTCCCGTTTTGGCACTCTCTCTCACTCTTCCTTCCTTTTTGCACATATGCAATGTCAGCAGCTGCCTAGAAGGCATATAGCAATGCTCCTCAATCTAACCCACCCCATATGTGAATAACAACGCCAGGCTAAAGTGATTTGAAGAGGTATTCTAGACTAGTAGATATTGCGTAAAATGTATGTGTGCGTGTGTAGTGTGTGTTACTAGCTGTTATAAAGCTGCTTCGTGTATATATGTATATATTTATTATTATTTTTTTTTTTACATATTTACTGTCTGGCTTATATGCCCTTTGTGTGGAGCGTTGCTGGGTATAGCAACACGACTCTTGCGCTGTGGTCAATGTTCGCTCTGTGGCCATAAAACTAAACTTCCCACTGCAGCGCGTTTCATCTCTTCCTCGCTGCGCCTCTTGCTCTTCGCTGATTTTTTTTTTTTTGCTATTTGCGGTTCTTTCCGTTGCTTCGTCGTAAATGAGCGACAGACCAGCAGCAACACCAACAACAACAACAGTTAAATGCGAACCATTAGAAATCGAAACGGATGGTAGTTAAGATTTGACATTCAAGATTTCCACTTAACGATTGTGAGGAATATCGCATGTAAGAACGTTCGAAATTAACGTCAAGCCCTCCCGCTGCTGCCGTTGTTTGCTCTCTTACATTACGTAATGCTGCCATTAAATATATCTATGTACATATATAAATTGATATATGCATGTTTATACATATCCTTTTTTTCTTCAATTTTTCTTTTTAATAAGCTTTAAGATTTAGCATTAAGTTAGTTTTCCTTTTTTTTTGTTTCACCCTTTTAGCTTCTCTCTCTGTCTCTGTCTCTCTTTCATATATATGAACATATCTACGTAATACTCCTAATAATTGCATTTTCTGTCTGAGGTTAACAATTGCATGCTTTTTGCTACTGTTTCTAACGCTTTCTGACTTTTGCCCAGGTGCAACAAAGTTGTTGTTGTTCTTGATGCAAATTTGTGCGCCCTAAAACCAGGCGTTTGTCAACGAAGTCGAGTCACAGCCCCACAAACCCTAAAACCTAAGCACTACCCCTAGAACTCGTCAATCCCCTTGCTTGAGCCAACAACAGACCACATTGGGGTAGACTAGATTCAAGCTAAAACCCAACGTTGGCGACATTGTTGACTCGCTTACTTTTTAGTCGAAAGCCTCTAACCTCCCTGCCCCACATCTATCCCTAGCACTTCACTCATTCGCTACCCTTAGCTCGCACTGTCTATGTCTCTGGTTGTGTCTTGGCAACGCTTTCGTAATTGCTTATGCAAATTTTCACAGTTGCAAGTAGCAGGTACCCCCCGGAAACCCCATCCCACTACCCCTTAGCTGTAATGCAGCCCTTCACCTTTTGCCAACCCAACTTGAAGCTTCAACTGCAGTTTTTTTATATCACTCTGACTGCATCTTTCTGGCTGTGAGTTTTGTTGGCAAGCAAAAGTTTACACACACCTATCCCTAGCTCCAACCCCAAGCCCCCAACATCCGAACCCCTTCGTTAGCTGCGCCTCCGACTCGGCGGTCCATCGCGCATTTTCATTGTCAACGTCGACGTCGAGGAGCTGCAGGCATTTGCATAGGTAACAAAATGCATTTCCCAGCAGCTGGCAGCTCCAACCCCTACTTGCCTACAGCCAACCCTCATGGAGGGGACCCTTAGCAGTAATTTTTAATGTGCAAAACAAATACAAATTAAAGCAATGCAAATAAAAGAGTTGCTCTAGCTGCAAAATTAAAATAAATTCCAATGTGGGGCTTGGGGTAAGCAGCTCCAGCTAAGGGTAGGTATATGTGTGCGTCACAGCAGATTGCTTTTGCTCTAGCTGAGATTTGCCTGGTTAGAAATACTTGATTAGCCACAAAAAGTTTAAAGTTTCCTAAATGAATGACAAATTAAGCGAATGGCAACGAATGATTTACGGAATTAAAACTTTTATTATTCTAAGAGACTTTATTCGGAATGGTTTTGAGTGCAGACACATGATTTTTAATGCGGAATGTTATGGAATCAGATATTGGCTTTAAGAATGGAAATAGAGAGTTGAGTTGCCATTAATGAATGAATGAATGATATGAATGAAAGTTATGAATGAATGATTTGAATGAATGATATGAATGAATGAATGATAGGAATGAATGAATGATATGAATGAATGAATGATATGATTAATATGAATGATATGAATGAATGAATGATAAAAATGAATGAATGATATGATTGATATGAATGAATGAGTGATATGAATGAATGAATGATATGAATGAATGAATGAATGATATGAACGAATGAATGAATGATATGAATGAATGAATGAATGATATGAATGATATGAATGATATGAATGCTATGAATGATATGAATGATATGAATGATATGAATTATATGAATGATATGAATGATATGAATGATATGTATGATATGAATGATATGAATGATATGAATGATATGAATGATATGAATGATATTAATGATATGAATGATATGAATGATATGAATGATATGAATGATATGAATGAATGAAAGGAATGAAAGGAATGAAAGATATGATTGAATATTATGAATGAATGATATGTATGAATGTTATAAACAAGTGATATGAGTAATTGTTGTAAATGACTTATATGAATGACTGAAAGACAAAAAAAATTGATATGAATAACTGTTATGAATACATGATGTGCGTAGAGAAAAGTTGATGGTTACATATGAAAGTCTTATTGGGCTAATCAATTGGTGAGTCTGTCAATCAGTTGCTCAATTTGCCAATCATGCAGCCAGTCATTCAGTCAATCTTTTACTATTGCACATCTGTTATTATGCATACCCTATATCAAGCTATATCCATTATCTATTCAAGCGAATCTACTCTCATATAGACATTACTTTAATAGGCAGTTGGAAGGCTTTACTTAACCGAGTACATAAATATGACTGAGTGGGGTTTCCAACAGGATGGGGGAAGGTATGAAGTCAACTATCAGCAGAACAATTTTGGGGCTAAGCCCGGCCAATTGCCAGTTCATAATTTGTGCAATAGCTCGGGTCAAATGCAGGCCTCAACAGAGGCGACACAATGAGAGAGAGGGACAGAGAGGCAGAGAGTAAGAGAAAGAGAGAGAGAGGGGTCCCTCGGGGTGGAGAGGTGTAAGGGCAGGGTTTGCAGTGTGGCAGCTGTTGGCAACACCTAAGTGAATGGGGATTGACATGATTGGAATAGCCAGGCAAAGGGAATCAAGTGGGGCGTCGAAGGGTGTTGCATATGAAATTAGCCAAAGATTGTCGACACACATGCGTTTAGGGGTTGCTCCACAGCAGGAGGAAAGGAGGTTGTCGGTTTGTGGCCAGTGTGATGGGGTGTTGCTTGTGGGCCAATTGCAATCAGTTAAACAATGTTGCATATTAACAGCCGACCAGACACGCCACCACCAGGCGAAACTCTATTGGAGATAGGCCAAGCGGGGGCATAGAGGGATCAGGGTTCAGGGGTCCCTCGGAGAGTTAGGGTATCGTTAGACCGCCCGCAATGTCTGTGCATAAATAAGGCATAAATAACGGACAGGCCTTTTGGGGGCCGCAGGGTGTACGGTTTGTCTGGCTAATTAAAACACTTGATGGGCCCTTTCAGCGTAAAGCGCCATCTGGCGTGCAGAAACGAAA